AGAGCAAGCTTCAGAGTCTTTTCTGACATCCATTTGGTCTTTTCTTTTTAATGACCTTTTGCTTTTTTCATGTATGATGTCCTTGATGTCATCCCACAACTTGTCTGGTCTTCTGTCATTAGTGTTCAATACATGAAACTACTCTTGAGATGGTCTCTAAATTCAAATGGCATATGCTCAAGGTTGTACTTTGACTCTTGTGAACTTGTTTTAATATTCTTCGGCTTCACCTTCAACTTGTATATGAGCAACTGATGGTCTGTTTTGCAGTCGGCCCCAGCTTTGTTCTGACTGATGGTACTGAGCTACTCCACAGTCTCTTTCCACAGTGTAGTTGATCTGATCCCAGTGTATTCTATCTCATAAGGTCTACATGTATAGATGACATTTATGTTGTTGCAAAAAGGCATTTGTAATGAATAAATTGTCTGTCCTGCAAAATTCTACCATGCAATCTCGTGTCATTTCTACCACCAATGCCATATTTTCCAATTAGCAATCCTTTTGTTTCCAGTGTCTGCATTCTAATCACCAATAATTATCAATGTATACTGATTACGTATTTGATCAATTTTAGATTGCAAAAGTTAGTACAAATGTTCATTTCTTCAACTTTGGCATTAGTGGTTGGTATGTAAATTTGAATAATAGTTGCATTAACTGGTTTTCTTTGTAGGTGTATGAATATGATCCTATCACAATAGCACTATACTTCACATGGATCTTGAAATATTCCTTTTGACAATGAATCCAACACAATCGTTCAAGTTGTCATTCCCAGTACAGTAGGCTATGTGACTGTCCAATTCAAAATGACCGATACCAGTCCATTGATCTTTATGTATTTCATTTCATTTTTGATGCCTTCCAATTTTCCTAGATTCATACTTTGTATAGATAGTCCACATTCTGATTGTAATGAATGTTTGCAGCTGTTTCTTCTTGTTTAGAGTTGTGCCACATCAGCAAATGAAAGTCCCGAAAGCTTTACTTCATTTACGTCATTAAGGGTGACTCTCCCGTGAGGAAGGAGCTCTGGTAGCATAGTGCTTAAGGCATTTGACTACTAACCAGAGGGCTGGCGGTTCAAACCCACCAGCCACTCCTTGGAAGGAAGATGAGGCAATCTACTTCCGTAGTGATAATGCCTCGGAAACCCAAGAAGGGGTCGCTATGAGTGAGGTCCGACCCGACGGCACATTAACAACAACAACAACTACTACTCTGAGGAAGCAGCTCTTCCCAGTCGTAGTTTGAGTGCCTTCCAACCTGAGGGGCTCATCTTCTGTCACTATATCAGACAATGTTCTACTGCTATTCATAAGGTTTTCACTGGTCAATTTTTTCAGAAGTTGATCAGGTCTACCCAAATGCCTTACCCACTAAACCACTAAAGCTCCTTACTACAGGCATAGAGGTTAGAATTTACAATACATATATTTGGGAAACACAATTTAATCCATAACGATCATCATCATAAAACTGTCTATTTGCAGATGACATGATGTTGGACATCCTAAGATATTTCTGAAAAAAACTACTAGAATAAACAAGTTTAGCAAGGCTGTAGAATACCAGATTAAATTTTTAAAAACTCAATTGTATTTCTTTATGTCAGCATTCAACAATCTGCTCAAAAAAACTGAGAAAGCAACTGCATTCATAGTGATATGTTTTAAAAAGGAATAATCAAAAACAAATTTAACGTTTGGGAGGATCGATGATGAGTTAACTTTGTGACATGTTAAGCTGTGTTCTAAAATTCTGAATCTAATGTGTATGTGTGCTAGTCTCATATTCCAAGGATACTATTTCAGTAACTATCAAGTTACCAAACACATATTGTGATGTCGATTGTGCCAAAATGCAATGAAATAGTTGCAAGGATCACTGGCAGCTTTTACTTTCTCATGAGAAACCACAATTGTACCACTTATTTCATTGTACAAAAACTCAATTTTATAACCTTCTAAATCAAGCTAGTACTACTTGTTGAGACATTTACATCCATGGTTGGAGGACTGGAATTTATAAAAATACCATCACCCTCCATTGATAGTAGGTTATGGGGTCTGGTAGATTTCATATTCATTAATTTTAACATGTGAACTAAATAAACAGCAGCTGCCCTTTACCAGGAAAAAAAAAAAATTAACAAAGGAAGACCTATACACTGGAACTGTAAAGCACTGTTGAGAAAAATTTTAAAATATCTAAATAAATGTAGACAGGAATTGCTTCCAAATTAACCTATAGATTTAACATAATCCCAACCAAAATAGCAGTGATTTTTTTCCCTAGAAAGTGACAAATTAAGCTAAAATAAAATCCCCAAACCTAAATTAGTCAAGATAACTTTGAATCAGAAGAGCTGGAGGTCTTATACTTCTTGATTTCAAATCTTACTATAAAGCTACAGAAATCAAGACAGCATGTATTGGTATAAGGACAGATATACAGATCAGTGGAATAGGAACACAGGAAGGAATTGGGAAGAGTGCTGTTAAATTGTGGGGATTGCAACCAATGTCACAAAACAAAATGTATATAAACTATTGCATGGAAAACTAATTTGCTCCATAAACTTTCACCCAAACCACAATTAAAAGTTAAAAAAAAAAAAAAGGGATCAATGGAATAGAACAGAGAATTCAGAAATAAAGCCTTACATTTGTATTTCATTGATTTTGGACAAAGATGCCAACAATTCTTTGGGGGAAAAGTCAATCTTTTCAAGATATAATGTTAGAACAATTACACATCCATATGCAATAATAGTAATAGTAACTTAGACGCTTTCCTCATAAAACCAAAAAAAACCCAAACTCATTGCTGTCTAATCGAATCCAACTCATAGTGACCCCTCTTTGGGTTTCCGAGGCGATATCACTGTGGAAGTAGATTGCTCAACCTTTCTTCCCAGAGTGGCTGGTGGGTTTGAACCGCCAGCCTTCTGGTTAGCAGTCAAATGCCTTAGGCACTATGCAACCAGAACTCCCGCTTTCCTCATACAACACATAAAAATCAACTTAAGCTTGATCACATAGCTAAGTATATGAACAATAAAGATAAAACTGTCAGAAGAAAATGGAGGACAGAAATCTGTGCTTAATTCTAGGGTTAAGCAAAGAGACTTTAGATATGATACTGAAGTATAACCCATAAAAAGAAAAGTTGATAAATTAGACTTCATAAAACCAAAAACTTTTGTTCTTCAAAAGGCATCATTAAGAAAATAAAAAGATAAATTACAGACTTGGAGATAACATTTCTAAATCGTACAGATGGTAAAAATTTTATATCCAGAATATTACATAAATTCAAAACTCAGTAATAAGATAACCCCCATTTTAAAATGGGAAAAAGATTTGAACAGATACTTCCACAGATAAAGATATTCATTACAAGATTTTCAGCATTATTAAGCACTAACTCAAACCAAAACCAAACTCACTGCCATCGAATCAGATCTGACTCATAGCAACCCCTCCTTGGGTTTCCGAGCTGGTATCACTATGGAAGTAGATTGTCCAACCTTTCTTCCGAGAAGTGGCTGATGGATTTGAGCCACCAGCCTTCTGGTTAGCAGTCAAGTACCTCAGGCACTGTGCCACCGGAGCTCCCTTATTAAGCACTCTACTCACTGCCGTCGAGTCAGATTCAACTCCTAGCGACCCCTCCTTGAGTTTCTGAGGCAGTATCCCTACAGATGTAGATTGCCCAACCTTCCTTCCAAGGAGTGGCTGGCGGGTTTGAACTGCCAGCCTGCTGGTCAGCAGTCAAATACCTTAGGCACTATGCTACCAGAGCTCCGTTATTAAGCACTAGAGACATGAAATTTAAAGCAATGAGATAACCACTCCATACCTAAATTAAGAGACTTTCTCAAGTTGATCAATTTTAAGAAAGAGGAAAGAAGGTGAAAATGATTTCCTTGAAACTATCTTTACTGATAAACCCTGTTGGAAACTTTTTGGGCACCTCCAGTGGTAAGCATACCTTATCTGAAGGCCATTGCCATAAGAGAGGGAGCACTGGTGGCAGAGTGCCTAAGGCATCTGACTGCTAACCAGAAGGCTGGCGGTTCAAATCCACCAGCCACTCCTCGGAAGGAAGGTTGGGCAATCTACTTCCATAGTGATACCACCTCGGAAACCCAAGGAGGGGTCACTATGAGTCAAAATTGACTCAATGGCAGTGAGTTTGGTTTGGTTTTGGCATAAAAGGAGGAGCCTTGGTGGCACAGTCGTTAAAGCACTCAGCTGCTAATAAAAAAGCTTGGCAGTTCTAACCCACCAGCCAGGAGAAAGATGAAGCAATCTGCTTCCATAAAGATTTATAGCCTTGGAAACCCAACGGGACAAGTTCTACTCTGTACTATATAGGGTTGCTAGGAGTTGGAATTGACTCAGTGGCAGTGGGTCTGTAACACATGGGGTCACCACGAGTCTTAATCGACTTGATAGCAACTGTTAGGTGTATAATAATATTCAGAAACAAAAACAGTATCTATCTTTCTATAAAATCTTCAAAGAAATTACTACATAAAAGAAATTTGCTGGGAAGACTAGTGGAGACAGACCTAGGAAATCTGTTTCTGGCTAGTACTACTGACTCTAGGTACGTATTGTCTGGCTTTCAGTTTCCTGTCTTTCAGTTTCTTGTCTGTAAAATGAAAAGTTCAGAATACAGCCTCTAAGAGCCCTTCAAATGCTAATGTTCTAAGAATCTTTGATCTATGAATGTTTCACTAGTGAGCAATCAGGAGGCAGAAGACATGTCATATGATGAGTACTCTTATCATTTTGGTACCACTTTCTCAGAGATGAAACTAAATTATCCTGTCAAGAATTACTCAATGGTCAAAATTAATAAGCATCAAAAAATAATCTCCTTTAGAAATCAGGAATTTGACCTTACAATTCTAATAATTCAATTCTTGAAGCCAGAACTCATCACGTAACATAGGCACTGACATAATAGACAAACCATAAGCTTACCTGCCAGGAAACTGCTCCCAAAATTGCTGTTGCTAGAAGACTAAAGAAAACTAACTGCTCAGAAATTAAGCAAAAATGACGCATCCCCTTGGATGCCATGATTCTATCAAGGCTATTGTTATCTGCTCTGTGGGTAAAATATACTTTATGGCAGTCATTTAACTTGGTATGGAATCCCCAAAGAGTTAAAAGAAAAATAATATGGCAAATCATCCAGAAAATTCCAAAAATGGAAAAACCTGGTATTACAAAATACCAAAGATGAGTGTTTCTAAGCTTAAATGCTGAAAGAATAAAAAACGTTAGCTCAATCATTCCAGTGAACACGACTGAAAGTCTTCTGCAAATTCTTCCACGGTACAAAAAGGGTTTCCACCTTTCAGTTACTGAAAGTCCACTAAAATAGATGTCAAGGAAAGGATCTGTTATCAAACAAATAAAAAAACACGCAAAAGCAACTGGATTTTTGGGAGTTTCCAATGAAGAGAAAAACAGCAAGACTCCAAAAATTACTAAGTTTGGAATAGCTAGGAAAGACTTCATTCTCAGGTCAATAATCAGCATGGCCAAAGCTACAACAAGTAAAATGACACTCAGAGACTTCTCCACCAACATAGTTGTACTTGCAATGGCAAATCCAACAAGTTCCAGAAATTCAACTGTGGTAAGTAAAGTAGGTCGATGACGGACATAACCAGAAATTCTCTCCACCAAAGAGCATAATATCCTTAATACTATGGAAGTCAGAAGCAAATATTTGGTTGATTCTTCTTTCACGTCACTTTTAAAGGATGAATTATCAAGAAAACACAGAAGGCCAAGCAAGAATCCAAACCAAAGATTGGAGAGACTTAAACTTGCTGCTTCCATTGAAAAATAGTAATAGAGTATGCTGGCGATTCCAAGAACAAAAAGACCAAGGATAAAAATGACCAAAATTAAGGAATTTGCTGTTTTTTCCCATCTTACATAAAGACCTAAGCATATCGCAACCAGTAAATTGATTCTGGCTAAATAGCCAAGGTACCGTACTGAAGAATGCATGCTGGCTTCTCTGTTTACTTCTTCCAGTCTTGTCATTGCTAAATAGAGACAATGACTAAAGCAATAACGCAGTGATTTACACATGTAATCTGGCTCTTTGGGCTTTTTCGCCACGTTACAAAAATTAACTGCTTGTATTTCATCCAGCCAATCCGGTGCATCCGTAACTCCTATTTCAACATTTTCTCAGGTGGAATTTTTGTTTATAATGATCTGAAAAAAAGAAAACACACATCAGTGTGAATTTTATATAATTCACCTCTCAAATGCTTCTCCTTTGTACAAAATAACAAATAAACGAAAAATAAAGATTCTTCAGAAACCCAGCTTAAAATCTGTATTTGCATATATCTTTAATGGTAATTATCTCTGGCTTAAAAACATGGTAGTTTATCCAAATGAAAATATCTGTGCTTTTTACTCATCACATTCTAAGACTGCATGATGAAATCATCATCAATGGAACTGTTCTTCTAGACATGGTAAATTATTCACCTATTCCATTCTTATTTCAATATCTGGTTTTCCAACATGATGCAGATATGAGGTGTTGGACTTAGCTCACCACACTTGTGTTAGAGGATCCAGATTGTAGCAGATGGCTTTGGCATGATGGAAGTCTACCCAGCTCTTAGATAGATAGAATGAATAACTTCATCATTAACCCTTATTTAAAATGCACTAGTTCACAGAACAGTGACCATTACTACCTACCTATAATCTCCTACATGTTTTTACAAGGTACTCTAAAATGCTATAAATTCTTCATCTTTACAATGTTAACTAATAAATTTACTAGGAGTAAAGTTTAACTGTATTACTCAGTCTCTAATGTTGACCATAATTCTTCTGTACCTTTATCTCTACTATAATAAATTTATTTACCAAACCTTTTTCCAAATCTAATCTCTCTGTAGCAAACCTATTCCTGAGCTTGCTAGTCAAAATTTAAAAAAAAAAAAAAACTTACCACACTTACTATCTGTTAGAGGACCCAGATAATTATTGTAATCGTAATGCATACTGGTACTGTTAAGCGTCTCTAATTTACACAATACATGAGCAAAAATAAATAAATGAAATAAACTCACTGCTGTGGAGTTGAATCTGACTCATAGCGACCCCTCCTTGGTTTCCAAGGTGGTATCACTACAGAGGGAGCTCTGGTAGCGTAGTGCCTACGGCACTTGACTGCTAACCAGAAGGCTGGCAGTTCAAACCCACCAGCCACTCCTCAGAAGGAAGGTTGGGCAATCTACTTCCGTAGTGATACCACCTGGGAAACCCAAGGAGGGATTGCTATGAGTCGAGTCCGACTCCACAGCACATAACAACAACAACATCACTACAGAAGTAGATTGCTCAATCTTCCTTCCAGGGAGTGGCAGTGGTCAAAAATTGATTCAACTATCTATGAGATAATTCTTCAATATTTTCTAGTATATTATTTCAGAAGAATTGATCTGTTATTATTGCTCATGGTCACAGTGACTAGCCAAGGAGAACTGTACCAGAAAAAAATTCAAAAAGAAACTAGCTTAGATCAGTTTATTTATACTTTAATAACAGGACACTAAAAGGCAGGCCTAACAGAAACATCAGACAACCTTGGAATTAACCCTGAATTATCCACTAAGCTGCAGAAGAATGTCACTGAATCAACTTTAGGCTTTCTGGGAGGTTCCAAATATCATTACTAATCCTACTTCTTTTTTGTTCAACAAGCATATTTTTAAGGTTATCTAATTATCTAAGTACTCTGATTTTTCTCAACTGCATTTCATTTTTTTCTTATTCAAAACACCACACTTTTTTTTTTTTTTCAAATGTCTTCCTTTGGTATATTTTGGTTTATCTTTTATTTAAGTGTGAGAAACATCTAGAGTATACTGGAATTTTTTTAAAATATCACTCTTGTATGTTATACAATCACTCAAGAAATACATTGGAATATATCCTCAAAAGGCTGGATATATCCTTAAAGAGTCTTAGTTCAAACTATTGAACACTCTAAATTCATGAGGCATCCTTTTATGTTTCCTTGGTCAACATTCTCTGTGCTATTCAAATCTCTCTTCCCTCTACTCAAACAAGACACCCATTTCCTATGGCATTCTCATGAAAAAACTCTGCCTCCTATAGTCATCAGAAGGGAGTACATTTGAGTTTCCAACACTACAAACCTACCTCTACCAAAATGTCCTGATAAAAGGAAAGAAGGGTTTCCCTTCCTTATCTAAGGGAAAAATTCCTTTGGCAGTACTGTGTATCTCCTTCCCTTCTGTCTCCTCCTGAATCTCCCACTCTCTCCTTTCTCTTCAAGCTTCCCTTCTTCTCTAGTTCTTATTCGTCAGCACTTAAAATTTGTAAATCTCCTTTTTGAAATGATACGAAAAAAGAAAAGTACAAAACTCAGAAACAAACACAGCACTTCCTCATCCCCATCTCCTCTGATGGATTCAATCTTCTGTCCTCCTCTTGATGACAACTGATACTTGGCTACTTCATTTCTCACCCACTTACTTCTCAAACAACTGAACAGTGGTTTCAACCACATAATGGTAAACTGCTCTGCCAAGGTCTGAAATGAACCGTACTTCCTAAATCCAATGGGCAATTTTTATTCTGTTTCCTGGTTTTCTGTTCATTCTTTAAACAACCATTGACACCGCTGACTTCTTCCACCTTCTAAAATCCTCCCGTCCCTCAGCTTGAGATGTTCTAACTCAATGGTCTCTCTTTCCCAGTCTCCTTGCAGGACCTCCATTCTCAACCCACCTTTGGATGTTCCCTCCTGATCCAGGCTCTGCTCTTGCTACACACTTTCTCTGAGCAATATCATCTATTTCCATGTCTTCAATTACCATCCCTCTATTTACACATACATTAATCTACCTCCTAGAAATAAAGGCAACAGCTCTGTTCTGTACCCTCCATAGAGACAAAAACTTGAAAACAATGTAAATGTAAATATGCCAATAATTTAATAAAGTATGGTGCATCCACATCATGAAATATATGCAGCCACCCTGTAATGAACCAAAAACAATTTGGGAAATAATTATTTTTTTAATGACTCATTTACAAAAGTCCTTCCCCACTCAACTGTTTAACAGATAAATAGAAGGAATCAGAGACTAAAACAAGCACTTTAATCCTTTTCAATTAGTCAACCATCACTTATGAATCAATGGGAAAGGCAATAAAAATGTGTCTGTATTGAGCACAAAAGTCAATCTAAGTGCAGGGAAATTAATATCTGCCATAAAACCTCACATACTATTCTAACCCTATTCTCCATCACCTCCTGCATTTAATTCCCATCAAGTCCTGTCCATTTGACTTTCTAAACACCTCTTAAATGTTTCTACTTCTCTCCATCCCCAAGGTCACCATCCCAGTTTTGGCCACCATCTCAAGCTTGAACATCTTCCTGTAGCCACTCTTGTTCTTCTCCAAGAAGTGTTCTTTTTAAACCCAAAATTTTTCCTGTCACTGGTATGTAAAGCCCTCCAATAGCTTCCCATGACCATTAGCCATAAAGTCTATAAATTCTTCAACATGCTTTATAAGGCCCTCCACTTTGGACCGGATAACCTTCCTGCCTCGCCTCTTACTATTCTTCCTCTCACACTCTGTATTCTAGCCATAATAACCTTCAATACTGAACTGCAAAAATGCTATTCCTCCCCCCCATGTACACTCCTTTCCCTCCACCTGGCCCCATCCCAGTGTTCACACCAAGCTAACTCCTACTCTTCAAGTCTCAGTTTAAATTATTGACTTAGGGAGGTCTCCTGTGACCCTCTTGTAGTGCAGCAGTTAAGACATTTAGCTGCTAACCAAAAGTTCTGTGGTTCCCACCAGCCATTCTGCAGAAGGAAAATGGGGCAGTCTGATTCTGTAAAGATTTACCAACTTGGAAATTCAGTGCGGGTGGCTAGGATTCAGAATCAACCTAAGGCAGTGAGTTTGTTTTGTTTTAATAGTTCCTCTAAATAAACTATTAGCACAATGGCACAGTGGTTAAAGTGCTCAGTTGCTAACACAAAGGTCGGTGGGTTACCACCAGCAACTCTGCAGGAGGAAGATGTGGTAGTGTGCTTCAGTAAAAATTTACAGCCTTGGAAATACTAGGGAGCACTTCTACTCTGTCCTATAGGGTTGCCATGAGTCAGAATTGACTCCACGGCAGTAGTTTGCTTTGGTTTTATATCTTCTCTGTAGTAGCAAAATCATCATCATCACTTGTTGCATTCCCCAGCATCACGAGGTCTATGAGGGTCTGTCTTCAGTACTGTATACCCAGTGTCTAGCAGAGAGCCTGCACAAAGAGGCAGTCAACAAATACTTGAAGAAATAGAAGAGCAATTCAGAAACAACGAGATTTAATAATGGTTACCAGTTATCAAACAATTATTAATACACAAGGGGGATGAATAACTTGCCCAATATCCCACAGGCAGCACGCAATAAAGCAAATGGAGATGCCTTCTCTCAGACTTACTCCGGTTTATAGTTAAAGGGCGCTCTGGTGGTGTAGTGCCTAAGGCACTTGACTGCAAACCAGAAGGCTGGAGGTTCAAACCCACCACCCACTCCTGGGAAGGAAGGTTGGGCAATCTACTTCCGTAGTGAAGCCGCCTCGGAAACGCAAGGAGGGGTCGCTATGAGTTCAATCGACTCAATGGCAGTGAGTTTGGTTTTTGGTTTGGTTATAGTTAAAGCTTCACCCACATTTCTCCAAACCGGTAAATTCTCATTCCAAGCCCTAACTCTAGGGAATGGCTCGCTGAGCTGTCCAAGACACACCCTCTCATTTGCATCACCCTTCGACTGGGAAACTATTTCGGTCCCATCTAGGAGCAATGGCAAAAGCTTAAAGATATTGAGAAGCCAGGGTCGAGGGATTCCTGTGGATTAGTTCTATTTGAAATCAAGACAGTAACTTTTGGGATCATCTTATACGAAGAGAACGGCACCCAGAATATTAAATCTCTCCGCAATAAGGCAACAATAGCAATGATTCCTCCATTCTGCTTCCTTCTAGAGACATGTAAGAGGCCCGAAATACAACTTGATAGTCCTCCACACCCCTATAGTATACTACAGTATACTACGGGAGAAGCGGACACAACAGGGCGCCCAGCTAGAGGGGGAAACACGGGCGCCTAAGGGAGGCGCCCCCACATCCTCCATCTTCTATCCCCTAC